CTGGGGAATTCTGGGAGTTGAAGTCCACTCATCTTAAAGTGGTCAAGTTTGGACAACGCTGGTCTAGTGGTTAAGGCCCCAGGCTAGAATCCAGGAGACCCTGAGTTCTAGTCCCGCCTTAGGCACGAAAGCCGGCTGGGTGACTTTGGGCTGGTCACTCTCTCAGCCCAACCTACCTCATGGGTTTGCTGTTGTGGGGAAACAACATCAATCCCTTGGAATACATTATTTATTTAAGTACATTGTTGCATAGTATTTTAATTAGTATTTATTCTTGTTTTATTGTAAACCACCCAGAGTCGCTCCTTGAGTAAGATGGGCAGTGACTAAATTTGGCATATACGTAAATAAATAAAATAGGAGGAGGAAGGAGTATTAGTATGTTTGCCGCCTTGAGTTATTTATAAAAATAATAAAGGGATAAAAAAAATCTTATATATGATGCACAGTTAGAAAATACCACTTTGTTTTATGGAAATGGTTTTACTACTAAGTTGAGGTGTATATATACACATAGATTGAGAAGTGGCTGTTATGACCTGAGTTGACTCCTGAAAGTGCAAAAAAAAGGTTGATTTATAGCATAGCCTCAGTTGTCAATAGAATCTGTGATATACTTAAGAGTTACTTCTACATAAAAAGCTCCTGTCTAGGAAGTGTGAGAGAGAGTCTAAGACTACTGTTTGATCATTTTGGTCTTTACAACTTTACCTATTTAATATGATTGCCATCTGTCCTGTGTTAACATGTTGCAGTCTTGAGGTTGAGATAATGATGGAATTATGTTTACATATGCTAAATTTGAAAGTAGTGATTTGATTTTAAGGGGCTTAACTTGTTATGCTAAATTAAAACACACACACATACTTCCTGAATTTCCTGAAGTTAACTTGTGCGCCAGTTGAAAAATCTTACCAACAATTTTTTTGTAAAGGGCATTAGTGAAATTGTATCTTAAAATGAAATGCACATTGAATACTTTGGCTGCTAATTCTGTAGTAATTAGAAGCTTTGGATTTCAAACCACGGAGAATTTGTGGTGTGCCTATACATTTGGTAGGATTATCTTGTATTTCGGAGGAATAACTCTAAACCCTCACAATGTCTGTCTGTCTATCACAAAAATTTCTAATTGTACACACACACAACATATGGGACTGCAAACTAATTTAAGGCCTCAAAAGACATCAGGTATCTAATGTTTTATAGACAATGCTGTTGAGAATATAGATGGTTTGATCAAGAATTAGTCCAGTATAGTGATCATAGGATGGGTGGCGTACAACAAAGCTAAAAACAGTCAATAAATACATTAAAAATATAAAAAGCAAAATAAAACAGAATACAAGGATGTTAAAAATAAGGGAGCCACCTCAGTAATTCCGCCGTCCCCTGGGGTCCCCAGGCCAGTATATATATGCTGTTAGCATAACCTTTCTCGACAAAGGTAAATGATGGAGTGGAGTGGGAATAACCTATTCTAGCTTGGAAGAAAGGTGTCAGAGAATGACATGACATTTGAAAATCATAATGGATAAAGTAATCTTGGTTATCACTGATGAGAAGGAAATACCCGCAGAAGGTATTTGTGCTCCAGAAAGGAGGGGAATAAATGTATTTGGGTATCTTCCAGATCTTGGATTTCAGCTCCCAGAATTCCCAGCCAACATAAGCATTACTGAGAATATTTGGAGTTGAAGTTCACCTATAGGGAAGATGCCCAGGTCTGAGAAGGCTATATTAGAGCCAGCCCTGGGTCAAGATATTGATAACAGATATTTTGGCTCTTCTGACATATTAGCTGGTGCTGATCAACCTGTCTATTTTCTCAAGATGGACTTTTGGAAGTAAATAGTAGTTGCCATTTGGATAATTGCCCAGATACTGTAATTTACTCACTTGTTAAACTACCACCTTTTATGATGTATCTTGTAATTTGCAGTGTTGCAAAAGAGAATTATGATTAGAGGCAGATAGTACATAATCAGTGCCCCCACCTTTCTTCTAGGAGTATATGGCAACATACCTGGCATTCTGCCCTCCAATTTTTCCACAAAACCACATTAGATTATTTAGGACAGTGTTTCTTAAAGTGTGGTCCTAGGAACCCTGGGAATCCCCCAAGACCCTCTCAGGGGTCCTCGAAATCAAAATTATTTGCTGGATATCAAAAATATTGGCAAAAAAATAATGTCATTTATTAACATCTTAATTTTTATTAATTTGTTTAAAAAAGGTTAAAAATTGGCTTTTTTCATGAAAGAGACTTTATTTATGATGATATCTAATGGGTTTAATATTGTTGTTTTTACATGATTCAATACATAAAAATTCTATGAATACATCCATTTTAATTTTTAGTATGGTAAATATTGATAAATATAACCCATACAAACAAAACCTCTTTTGGGGTTCTCCATACTTTTTAAAAGTGGGAAGGGGTCCTTCATAACTTTTAAAAGTAGGAAGGAGTCGTCCATAATTTTTAAAAATGGGAAGAGGTCCTGAGAATAAAAGGTTTAAGAAATACCAATTTAGGAGATACACATGAATCTGAATAGATGTCTACATGTTAGTATCTCTCTATTATCTACATCTGTCTGACTGTATCTATTGATTGTGCCAAATAAAAGGTAAAGTCAAATCAAAATATAGTACTTAATATGATTCAGATTCCGTAATACTTTTCACTGGGTCACGTTTATTAGCCTTGTGAGAAAGGTATGTGTGACTGAATGTGTGTATCTGAATATATACATCTATCTTTGTCTACCTATTTTGATTACGCCAAATAACATATAGATTAAAGTCAAAGGAAAGATACATATAATATTTGTAATTGGATCAGATTTATTAGCCTTTAGGAAAGCATTATTTTTCCTAAAAGAATTCTCTTTTACTTGAAGGTGTCTGGATAACAAACACTAAAAAGAGAGAGAGAAAGAGGGAAAAAATAACCTTTGAAAATTTGAAAGTCATACATAAATGCTGGTGTTTCTTATTAGACTAAATTATTATTTAGCATAATGATAAATGTTGTTATACTAATTCAGAATATCTGTATATTACATATTGTTTGGCTTTCATCCCTCCCCCTGCCAATAAATGTGTGTCTTGGTAGCTGATCTATTTGTTCTCAAGCAATAAATATCAAATATTTTGGCTGTGCTTGTTTATCTCCCACATAAGCTTCGTATTCAAGCTAATATTTATAATGGGCACCAAAAAACCTTACTCATATTTAGTTGTCATATAAAACCCATTGTTTTAAGCCTAGTTTTTAAGTATTCAAAGGGGCATAAACAAGCTCTCCAAATGGCTGGCATTTGAAGTGGCACCATGATTTCAAAATGGCTACCCACTAGGTGTTACGTGCAGCAGATACTGCATGCTGTTATGAAGAAATACTTAAGTAACCCTTTACAAAAAGTTCAGTGTGCTTTGGGAATCCCAGAAGTGGTTTTGTAAATAAGAGAACATTATCCCTAAAAGAATGGGTATTTGTTTTGCCAGACTTCTTATTTAGAATAATGGTGTGGACTTCTAGGGTTCTGCAAGTGAATGGCTGAATAATTGTCCTATTTCTTTCACTAACGCAGTTTCTTTGTGAGTGCTGAAGATATGTGTTACAGTAACTCCCTAAGGCAGTTTCCTTGCAGAGATTAGTAACTTCCTTTGATAATTGCATCATTTTAAAGATAAATATTTAGAGAAATCTGAATGAGTAGCTGGATTGCACATCCTTAGACATGGATTACACTGGAGCATTTATTAGAAGTGTGTTGGCAAACTGTTGATCACAAATTGTATAACTGCATCAAAAGAATTGAAAGAAGTTACCTTCTGACTTCATTGCAATATATGAAGCATTCTGTTGGAGAAAGAGTACTTGGTGTCATAAAAGTATATAGTCCTTTTGTTTTAAACTATTTTATTGATTCGTTTTGTTTCCTTAGTTAACGTTAATGTGTTTTCAAATTCTTTTCACACAGGTAGTGACATTCTTGGTGCTTCTGAGCTATTGGCAATTTTCCTCAAGCTTAAGAAGAAGAAGATCTAAAGTATTACACACGGAGATGTAAACAGACCGGTTTTGCTAAAAGCAAGTTACATAAACTGGAGAACAACATAAGCAATTCCACATCTTACGTACAAGAGCTAGTAACAGTTTTTATAAAATTGTTTCTTTCCGGGAGAGGTTAGCTACGTCTACAGATGAGCAGAATATACAACAAACTTCTCTTGAAGGAGTCATCAAGGCTCAAACGTATGCTCCTAAACAAGTGGGAAATTTCTGAAGTGGCCCTATTTCTCGCATAAAAACAACTTGACACTTCATGTTAAAACTGCCAAAGGAAATATGCCAACTCAGCCTCTTTTAGTGTACATGGATGGTCCAGAAGGTATAGCCAGTACAGTTGGTTCACGAATGGACAATAGTGATGCCACTATGCCAGTGAAAGGAGCCAACACAATCTCCTATAAGAACTTGCAAGACAAGTTCTTAATGCAAGACGAAGGATGCGTATCTTTAGACTGCATGTTTTGTGAACAGACCTTCAAGCATCCAGAAGATCTTGGTAAGCATGTCTTAACACAGCATAGGCCAACACTTTGTGAACCAGCAGTTTTGCGTGTGGAAGCAGAGTATGTTAGCCATCTTGATAAAGGACAAGGGAGAATTGACTTGCCATCACTGGATGTAAATGAAAAGGATAGCCAAGACTTCAGCTGTGTGGTTTGCGGGCAAACATTTGATGAGGCTTTTGATGTTGAGGCTCACATGAGGAAGCACAAGGATTCTTTCACTTATTGGTGCAATGTGTGTGGAAGGAGATTTAAGGAACCTTGGTTCCTCAAAAATCATATGAGAACTCACACTGGCAAACCTGGCTCTCGGAGCAAGGCGTTGCAAGGATCTGAGAGTCCCATAACAATAAATGAGGTTGTTCAGGACCAAGTGACAGAGAGCATAACATCCCCTTATAAAATCTGCATGGTGTGTGGCTTTCTGTTTCAAAATAAGGAAAGTTTAATTGAGCACAGCAAAGTACATACCAAAGATTCGCTAGCCAACAGCAGTGGCTCACCATCTGAAGGGGATGGTAAAGAAAGTAGATCACCCAGAGAAGAATTTCTCCAATTTTTAAACTTAAAGCCACTTTCACCTTCTAGTAACAGCAGACAAAAAAAGCCTGTGAAATGGATTGCTGAGTTGGATCCGTTCAGTACCTACCAAGCATGGCAGCTGGCTACTAAAGGCAAAATTGCTATTGGTTATGGGCAAACAAAAGACCCTGGTCAAGAGGGAAGCACCGACAATGATGACTCATCCTCTGATAAAGAAGAACTTGGGGAGATCTGGAATGCAAGCAAAGCAAACCCAACCGAAAGCACGGGAAAGACCAAGGGGAGCAGAGGTGCAAGTTACGCAGGGATTGGTAACATGCCACAAGACAAATTAAAATACCCTTGCCGGGAAGTGCCTTCTTTGCATATAGATTCTAAATTGTCCCAGAACAAAGACAAGCCGACCCATTGTGCAGAGTGTGGCAAAGCCTTTCGAACTTACCACCAACTCGTCCTTCACTCAAGAGTCCATAAGAGAGATCGGAAGAATGATATCGAAGCCAGTTGTGGGGAAGGGAAGCAGCCAAGGGCATGCCTTCCAGACCCTGTGACCCTGGATGAGAACGGAGCCGAGCGACTGGAGGGAGGCTCTGAAGATGGCTCCGAGGATGGGATAATAGAGGCTTCAGGTAAGGCATATTAAGGACTATTTACAATAAAAATGTATTTTGTTCTTTTAGGCCAGTGTTGTCCA